GAGGTTCTGACAAAATACAGGACCCATAATACCGGTTTTAAGGAATAACCTAAAAAACAAGCATAATCGAGTTAAAAGAGTTTTGATACAAGTTACTCAGAAAATGATGAATTCAAAGATATAGCATTTCTTCCTTGAAAATAGGATAACAATAGCTTAATAGCCATATTTGTCCAGACTTCAGAATATTAATTCCAAAGTGGTATTTTTCGACGAATTTAGGTTTTTCATTGTAACCAGTTTATGCTCTATTGAGTTTTGAACTGCTAAATAACCATGGAGCCAATTCAATTTTTTTGCTTTTTTCATTCTTTCTACTTTCAAGTGGAAACATACAGAGTTTCATTGTTGGGCAAAGTTTTCTGTAGTTTAACTAATGATCTAGACATTGCTTGTAAAATGATAAAGCATAATATTTTAGATTAAAATTTAGTATTGAATGCTGGAGTATATCCTTCCTCCAGGTGCATTGTGGTTTTATGCAAGGTGGCGGTGCAGAAATGGCTGCAGCAGACATCAGATACGTGAAGAAATGTCGTTTTGTTGTTGCATCTGGCATTTTTGATGGCTATGATACGCCTCATCAGCCATCAAATATAAGTAAACGCTCTCAGAGGCTATTTTGTTTTCTTATGGTGGTTGATGAAGTGTCTCTTGAATTCATCAAGAATAATGTTACAGTCAGAGAGGATAATAATGGAGGACAATGGGTGGGTGTTTGGCGTTTGATTCTGCTTAAGCATCAACCTTATGATGAACCTAGAAGAAATGGCAAGGTTCCTAAGATATTAACCCACAGGTTATTTCCTCAAGCCCAGTACAGCATCTGGATTGATGGTAAAATGGAGCTTATTGTTGACCCATTGCTTATGCTAGAAAGGTATGATAGTTCTTATCATGAACTTTCCTCAGCGAGTGGGCTGTAGATTTGTTCAGTGTTCTTAAAAGGCGCAGGCAAAACGCTTTGTCTTGACAGCAAGCGCGAATTAAGTAGTTGACCGCTTAATGGCTTTGTTAATTTTTTTTTATTTTTTTCCTTTTTTTAAAAACCATTTTTTTCATTTTATTTTTTAACATTTTTTATTTTTTCAAAAGGCTTTTATTTGACTTTAGTTTCAAATTTTTAGATGACTTTACAAAAATCAAAAATAATTTTATTCAATGGGCCTTCTTGGTCGCCCATTGACCCTGTCCAATAAAGATTTATAAAAGATTTAAGATAGGGTGTTATCTGTGTTATGTAATTATGATTTTGAGATTTATCGTTTTGTTGGAAACTTCGATTGTACGTATAGAGTTCCTGTAAATCTATTATTTACGACTTGTTTAGTTGAAAGTTGAACACTGGATTTTTTACATAAAGGTGATTGGGTTAATGGAAGTCCATATATGATGTCTTGAGATGCAACATGTCCACGTGTTATCTCTGGGGAGATTAAACTGAGTTGTATTTGTCTGTCTAGCATATATGAAGCAACAGAACTCTGTTTAATGGTAACAATCTTAACTTGCAGATATTTATGGCGCGGGAAGCACACCTTTGCCATTGCTCAGCACAAACATCATCGCAGCATATATGAAGAGGCTGATGCCAACAAACGGAGGAAGCGATATGCTCGTCCTCTAATTGATCTACAGATGAAAATATATCGTTACGAAGGCATGGAACCATGGAGCCCAAATAAAAGTACTGTTAGTGGTAAGACGATGGATTCACTACATATGAAATAATTATCTATTCTGTATCGGTTTTTGACACGATCCCACATAATTTCTTTAAATGCAGATGTGCCTGAAGGAGCCATTATCATACGCGAGCATACAGCTCTGAATAATCTGTTTAGTTGCTTATGGTTCAATGAGGTTAACCTTTTTACACCGAGAGATCAGCTAAGCTTTGGATATGTAGTTTACAGGCTAGGAAGTAGGTTCAAATTGTTTATGTTTCCAAATTGTGAATATAACTCAATCTTTGTTTTACACCCGCACACACGGGAGCATTCATCTAAGGTCGAATGGGTTAAATCTTTAGAAGAGTTCAAGAAAAAGGCCGACTTGAAAGAGAGTAGAGGAGGTTTAGGCTTGTGGTCTCCTTATCCTGGGAATCTTAATTTGGTTGTATTACCACCTGTAGCCAGAACATCGAAAGCGGGCTGATATTTAATCATGGATCTCATTTTCGGTTACGACACTCCTACGTTGTACTTCGAAAATCTATTACGTTTTTTTCCTCCATTTTTCCCGTATTTGCTCATTTCAGAAGTAGAGCGAAGGCTGTCTCCTGATGACTACGTCTTCTACCCCAGCAAAACTTCTAAATATTTCTCTTAGTCTTTCTTCCACCAATCTTCTCCCTTGAAACCTTAAGCACCTTCTCCTTGTCTAATCCATTACCTCCAGCATCCATCCTACCTTTCTCCCTTGCTATTGTGTATCTCTTTGAAGGTGTTGTATCAGCTGAAACTTTTTACTATGCATAGCACGAATTCTAGCAATCTCCTCTTTCAGCTTCCAAGAAATCATGTCTTCCTCTTCTCTAGCTCTCATACTAGGGTCCCTGATCACTCTCTTTCTTCAAGATCTGTCATCATCTTCCGCCGCTTGGAATTTTGCTGTGCTTGGCATTGAAGCTTCTCCTGCTTCACCCGAAGTAGACCATCAAAAACATCCTAGACTTCTCATCCTTCAGAACATCATAAGATGTTAGAAGCTTTTGAAAATCAGCATGTGCGTTCGGGTCATCACGTCTCTTGTACGGGTGCAATTCCCAGGCCTTCAATCAATAGGCCTTTGTAATCTCTTTATCCGAAAGCGTGGCACCTTTTTCACCAGATGCAAGCCCAAAAAAGCATAGTGGTCAACTTCAACATCCGTTTCGTCCAATATCTCTCGACTGGAAATAGTATCACGCCAATAATTTCAAAAATAGAAGCGCCCAACCGCCCAAGTAATTTCAGGCAGGGTTCTGCCTAGAGAGGGTAATAAAATAATTAGTTTGATCCTCCAGTAAATAACGTGCTTTCTATGTGCAAAAGCTATATACATGCTTTTAGCCATTCATTCCAATCTTACTGTTCAATTATTCATCCAAACTTTTCAAATTGAATTATGCCAATTGTACATAAAATGAAGCTAGTCTCAACAGATTAATTAAAGCAATTGAACTCGAAAATCAATCAATTTCAATCGCAAAAATCTACATCACAAAAAATAGATTCCACTTTCAACTCAAATAATTTAATCGTAATTCTATGAAGAAGGATGAATATGAGGCACAAACGAGAAAAAAAAAATGGTGATAAATACCTTCGTATGTCTCAACCCCTAAGAGAATGTAAACGGGTGCTCAAAGAATTGAACTTCGTTGTTCTTCCCAAAAAATTGGATTTTAAGGAAAATACCGCGAAAAGTCCAAAAGTGCGCGTTTAGTAGCAAATGTAACGTTTCCATTTTAAACTGAAACGCGATTTTATCGAGACTCGTTCGAGTAAAGCGCTTTTCAATCAATTAGGAAGGAAATGCAGTGTCGGCGGGCGGCGGCAGTGTTAACTACGACGTCGTTCTATTTCAGCACTTCTCATGTCATCTTTTCCTATATGTTCTCGGATTCAAGAAATTGAAAATTTTACATCATCCACTATTTCTTGCTTATATCCCACTATTTCTTGCTTATATCCCACCCACACACACTACTAGATCAATTCGTAAAGATTACGTCGTTTTTTGAATCAAATTTGGCTCTTAGATAGATCTAGATCACATTAAACTTAGATGCTCATTGATTGTTGCATTCTTGAGGATTCTTGATGAAAATAAGTCCATTCCAGTTAAGGCGTTAATCATGGACAAAGATTTTCAGCGGTCCATCTCTTCACGTGCTGCTCGAAGAAATCAGCAACAGCAAGCCAAATGTACGTTCGGCATTTATTCATTTGTAATTATTTTTGCTGTTGTGTTCGTATTGATTATTTGATTAAAAATTGGTTAATGTAGATATTTTAAGTGGGGGGAAGTTATCTCAGGATTATACCATGAGGATAATTTGGAAAAGGGGTTTTATTCGGTTGGTTCTTACAGCCGGGATCATATGGATGTTGCTAATTCTCTCAGTGTTGTTATTTCACGTTTGGTCTTGCCAATCTTCTGTTGCGTTCTTTTCAGGTACTCTTTATACTTTTCCCTTTTTCATATATAATTGTGGCTATAATTCTGAATTATTTGAATATATTTTCAAGTAAAGATTGAACTTTGCTTTCAAAAACATGTCTGATATAATCAGTGGGAAGATGGTGTGATTATTGGATCAATTATTCATGTCAAATGAGGGAGTCAGAGGAAATAATGGAAAATCAAGAGATCTTCACAAAAGTTTTGTTCCCTTATCTTCATGAATCCTTAGCTCTTTGCTGATTGATGAAGCCATGACTTGTAATTCATCTATTCATTAAGTTTTGCAAAAAATATATATGAAGAATAGAAAATGTTTTTAACCATTGATGATCCTCTCAGTGTGAAGCTAGTCCACTCTACACTAATGAGTATCAGCTGTCATAAAGTGTCAAAAATCTTAACTAGCAAGAGCGTGTGTTAATTATATGCCACGGTTTCAAGAACATTTTTCTTCCTCGATAAAGATGATTAATGTTTTTATTTTGTTTCATTTGCTTGATGTGCAGCTCTTTGTAACAAAGAGAGCAAAGTATTTGGAATGCTAAACACGATGGGACTTGTGAAATCACTACATCGTAAGACTAGAGATTTCTCTCCATAATTTTTTCTATTCTTGTTTTAATGTAGTGATATTGCTTTAAAACTTTTTCTTCTCAATAACAATTAGGCTGTCCTATTCCTGTTGCTGATGACCCGAATGAAATAGTTATTCCCAATAGAAAATCTTCTGATGAAGTAGTCCAACATCTGTCCTATATCATGGAGGATAATATCGCAAGCAATGGATCCCAATCACCTCCTCTATTTGGGGGTCATCAGACCTGGCAGCAAAGAGATGAGAGCTTTAAAGTAAAACCAATCATGAAGGTGATACGTTGCTCAGCCTTTCTATGATATATGGGTATTTCGTTTTGATAATTTGGCCTGAAAACATAAGGTTCAGGGCCAATTTGTGCCCTTATCTTATAACTGTTATAGTAGTTTTTGAAGAGCTTAAATATCTTCCATGATTCATGTTTGTGGATTTCGTCAGGTTTAAAATTTAGGCATCTTTTGTGGAGGTTCTGACAAAATACAGGACCCATAATACTGGTTTTAAGGAATAACCTGAAAAACAAGCATAATCGAGTTAAAAGAGATTTGATACAAGTTACTTAGAAAATGATGAATTCAAAGATATAGCATTTCTTCCTTGAAAATAGGATAACAATAGCTTAATAGCCATATTTGTCCAGACTTCAGAATACTAATTCCAAAGTGGTATTTTTCGATGAATTTAGGTTTTTCATTGTAACCAGTTTATGCTCTATTGAGTTTTGAACTGCTAAATAACCATGGAGCCAATTCAATTTTTTTGCTTTTTTCATTCTTTCTACTTTCAAGTGGAAACATACAGAGTTTCATTGTTGGGCAAAGTTTTCTGTAGTTTAACTAATGATCTAGACATTGCTTGTAAAATGATAAAGCATAATATTTTAGATTAAAATTTAGTATTGAATGCTGGAGTATATCCTTCCTCCAGGTGCATTGTGGTTTTATGCAAGGTGGCGGTGCAGAAATGGCTGTAGCGGACATCAGATATGTGAAGAAATGTCGTTTTGTTATAGCATCTGGCATTTTTGATGGTTATGATACGCCTCATCAGCCATCAAATATAAGTAAACGCTCTCAGAGGCTATTTTGTTTTCTTATGGTGGTTGATGAAGTGTCTCTTGAATTCATCAAGAATAATGTTACAGTCAGAGAGGATAATAATGGAGGACAATGGGTGGGTGTTTGGCGTTTGATTCTGCTTAAGCATCAACCTTATGATGAACCTAGAAGAAATGGCAAGGTTCCTAAGATATTAACCCACAGGTTATTTCCTCAAGCCCAGTACAGCATCTGGATTGATGGTAAAATGGAGCTTATTGTTGACCCATTGCTTATGCTAGAAAGGTATGATAGTTCTTATCATGAACTTTCCTCAGCGAGTGGGCTGTAGATTTGTTCAGTGTTCTTAAAAGGCGCAGGCAAAACGCTTTGTCTTGACAGCAAGCGCGAATTAAGTAGTTGACCGCTTAATGGCTTTGTTAATTTTTTTTTATTTTTTTCCTTTTTTTAAAAACCATTTTTTTCATTTTATTTTTTAACATTTTTTATTTTTTCAAAAGGCTTTTATTTGACTTTAGTTTCAAATTTTTAGATGACTGTACAAAAATCAAAAATAATTTTATTCAATGGGCCTTCTTGGTCGCCCATTGACCCTGTCCAATAAAGATTTATAAAAGATTTAAGATAGGGTGTTATCTGTGTTATGTAATTATGATTTTGAGATTTATCGTTTTGTTGGAAACTTCGATTGTACGTATAGAGTTCCTGTAAATCTATTATTTACGACTTGTTTAGTTGAAAGTTGAACACTGGATTTTTTACATAAAGGTGATTGGGTTAATGGAAGTCCATATATGATGTCTTGAGATGCAACATGTCCACGTGTTATCTCTGGGGAGATTAAACTGAGTTGTATTTGTCTGTCTAGCATATATGAAGCAACAGAACTCTGTTTAATGGTAACAATCTTAACTTGCAGATATTTATGGCGCGGGAAGCACACCTTTGCCATTGCTCAGCACAAACATCATCGCAGCATATATGAAGAGGCTGATGCCAACAAACGGAGGAAGCGATATGCTCGTCCTCTAATTGATCTACAGATGAAAATATATCGTTACGAAGGCATGGAACCATGGAGCCCAAATAAAAGTACTGTTAGTGGTAAGACGATGGATTCACTACATGTGTAATAATTATCTATTCTGTATCGGTTTTTGACACGATCCCACATAATTTCTTTAAATGCAGATGTGCCTGAAGGAGCCATTATCATACGCGAGCATACAGCTCTGAATAATCTGTTTAGTTGCTTATGGTTCAATGAGGTTAACCTTTTTACACCGAGAGATCAGCTAAGCTTTGGATATGTAGTTTACAGGCTAGGAAGTAGGTTCAAATTGTTTATGTTTCCAAATTGTGAATATAACTCGATCTTTGTTTTACACCCGCACACACGGGAGCATTCATCTAAGGTCGAATGGGTTAAATCTTTAGAAGAGTTCAAGAAAAAGGCCGACTTGAAAGAGAGTAGAGGAGGTTTAGGCTTGTGGTCTCCTTATCCTGGGAATCTTGATTTGGTTGTATTACCACCTGTAGCCAGAACATCCAAAGCGGGCTGATATTTAATCATGGATCTCATTTTCGGTTACGACACTGCTACGTTGTACTTCGAAAATCTATTACGTTTTTTTCCTCCATTTTTCCCGTATTTGCTCATTTCAGAAGTAGAGCGAAGGCTGTATGAGGTCATGCATATTGAATACGTCCTATCGTATGGCTCATTAACCATAGAGATTATGATATAACGTAGTGGAAAAAATTGAAATGTCACGATTAAGTGGAAGATTTGTTGCCAAAAAAAACATTTGGAAGAGAGCAGGAGGTGATGGAGTGGTGAAATTGAAAATTAAATTAAGCCAGTGTATGTGCTTCATTTTTTCAAGAATGTATTTTTCAAATCTTATTTTTAATCCCATAAAATAATTATATACGTATTTCAAAAACTTTTCATTACTTTTTAACAATACATTCTTCAAAAAATCACTATTTCACAATACATTTTACCCAAAAATGGGGATCAAACAGGGGTTAAAGTTCAGTTCCAAATTTGAACACGTAAAATCAATTGAGACAAATTAAACCACAATTTTTGTTGAAAGTTCGGTGATCGAAGGCGATATTTGTCTTACATTATCCAAATAATCAACTTTCGTTCATAAAATGTAACAAATATCAAAATATTCAAGATCCAAAAAAGTAACAATAAGAAATTATCAAAATATTCTATATGAAATTTATCTTAAATTGTCGAGCATGATAACAAAAACCAAAAAATATGCAATTATTTAAATATGGTTAACACCCTGTGAAGTGATTGTTGCCTCTCCTTTACTATTGAGCTAGTTTGTTCTCTTGTTCGAAAGAGGTTCTTTTGTTATAGCTCGACAATCATAGAATTAAGCACGTATAATACTTTTGTGTTTCCGAACGAAAATTTTAACGTAAAAAAAGTCGAAGTATATAAATTATGAGTAAAGTTAAACGACTTGTAAGGATGACTGCATTGATGATCGCCCACTCACATGGATGCGTGGGTCTCGTGTGAATAAAATAATGTCCGACCACCCATATGTGTGTATGGTGTCGTCTCCGATGTCAAACCCGATGTTCGTGTAGCAAGGTTGATAAATTATAGTATACAAACTTGATTCGAACGGTACAACAGAATTTTCCCTCATCAAGTAACACGAGTGTACGTGATAGTCATCATACAGCGGTGACCCTAACCTGGCAATGAAGGCATGGCACGAGGGAAGGGACAATTATGTCCTCGAAACGAAACAAATACATATATACGTATGCACGACCAGATCTTCATTTTGCTTCCCTGACGAATTCTTGTTCTCTCCCTTGCTATCTCGTTTATCTCTGTTCGAGATTTCAACACCACAGGGTAAGCGAATTCCTAGATCCATTTTAGAACCTACCGTTTCATATTTATTAATACAGTTCATCTTCATCCAATTTAATTCCTATTTGGATGTAGATGTATATTTTATGTTCAAAATTCACAATGATCTCTCCCGTAAGCAGTTGTTTTTATTCATTTCCTGTAATTGTTATAATTTCTATAAGGTTAGTATACTGCGCACTTAAATGGGCCAAATTTGTGTTTTTAAATATATAATTAGTAGGATTCGAAGGAGTAAAATATTATGCGTCTGTTGAAATGTTCTCTTCTATAAATTCAAGAATGAGTTGAAATGTACGTAATTCTTAATGTTTATGATCGCATTCATTTTTAACTAATATCATTTTTGTTGGCATTGTTTTGGATTATTTAGGATAAATTATGGGCGTGGCTCAAAACAACGTTGACATGGAGGAAGGAACTCTTGAAATTGGGATGGGTATGTTTCCCAGAGTAATTTTTTCTTGCGTGATACATGTATATATTGTATATTTATTTTATTGTCTTGCTGATTGTGGATCATGTAATTCATGATACCTGACTTTGTTTAGCAAATGATTGCTAGTCTTTGAGCCCAATTTGATTTTTAAGATGAAGTCAGATTGTGAAAATTGTTTCTTGGATAGATTGTAGACTAGGAAAAGAGCATTTGTCAGATCGTGAATCTCGTTGTGTCCAAGTTTTATACTTTCTGAATGGCATCATAGAACCAAATTAAACAATTGGTGAGCTTGTCATAGAAAAACGAAAATGCTTACAATCTCACTTGCTTCCACCTCCTGAACAATTGCTTGGGAGGTTGGGAGAAAGGTTGCTGCCAAAGGTAATGTTACCTATATCATCCGAAATGAACTCCATGAATAAAATCAGTGTAAAATGAAAAAAATCTTATTCCATAGTTATCTTGGCTCAGTTGCATTAATCATCTTCTTCCACTTTGCTCTATCATGGACCAACTAACTCAATTGTTGTAGCCCAACATTTCCGTCATTATTGTTTCCAGTGATGAACCAAAGGAACTAGAAAAGTTAATTTGGTTCGTTTATTGTGATGAGGCTGTGAATAAAGTGACTTGAGCTATTGTGTCGTTTGGTGTCAAATTGCTCACCATCTCACCGAATCCATTTTCTAGCACTACAGTGGTGAATGTAATTATCTATCACAGAATGTATATCGAACCTTTGACCACCTTACTTAATATATTTCTTTACCAATTACCAGTTTTTCCCCTGTTCCATTTAAATTGAATCTAATTTCGCAGTTTATCTATGCTTTTTTTTGGTCTGATTTCATCCTTGAGTTGTTATAAAGCCCAACATAAATCAAGAGTAGAGAGACGGAGGTGATATACATGGAAGTTTTCCTCTTTGTGCTTTACGTACAGTCCAAAAATTTGGAGGGACACTGGTCAGAATAATCACAGGGGGCAAACTAGATTTAGGAGAAGGAAACTTTAGAAAAAAATAATTGGAAATATTACATATGATCCCAAAAGTTTGGAGGAAGACAATAGGAAGAGTCATCAGGCTTCATGTAGGACTCCGTGATTTCGAAAAAATTAGATTTTCTTGCCTTCTTGCCGATGCAATCAAAACTCAAGATAATTGTCAATGCCTATCTCAACAGTAATTCCTTACAAGATTGAAATGTTCTATATGTTGCCATCTGATCCAGAAATAGGGAGTTCCCTCTGATTCTGGCTATGGTGCAAAAGTTTCTTTCTTGAGTATCGCAGCTTAAGCACAAGCAACTGGATCAAATTGGATATCTTGGATTTCCCCTAGTCATCAAGAGTTCCAATTGGAGCGGGATTTATTATCAAAGGACCAACTACCAATGTCCTGGTTCCATAACCAAAGGTTTAGTAAAGTAAATTGGAAAGTCAAAACAGAAACATGCTAGGTTGAATCTGATTAATGCTGGCGTTGTTTGCAATGCAAAAGGTCCTGCATACATCATTGAATATAACTGTAGGGCGGGAATCCAACAATATTCTCGCAAAAGCTTTCTCCACCTCTCAATATCCAAAATTATGGCGGGCTTGCAATATGCAGTGCATAGGAAGGGAGCCAAATGAGAAGCATGAAGTTTCAGCATGTTTTGAAACAACTCTGGTGAACAGTAGGCAGGATCAGTGGAGACATAAAGGAAACGAGGCCTTTAAGTTGGATGGGCATATGTGATGAGGGAACAAACTTGAACAAACCAATGATAAAAGAGATTGAAAGGCCAAAGGAATATTATCAGAGGTTGAAGTAAATATCAGAGATTTAGTGCTTAGTATCAATTAGGTGGTTAATCCATAGGATTTTATGAAGTTAACTTATATACATTTTCTGTCATGTGTTTCTCTGTCTTACTTTGTGCTTTCTAAATAAGGTTGATGCATACTTTTATGCTCTTGATCTTTCAGAATATAGAACTGTCTCTGGAGTTGCCGGACCATTGGTTATCCTGGAAAAAGTTAAGGTGAATATTCTGCTCCTTGTATTACTTTGGCTTCTTGTATATGGAATGACTACATGTGATTTTCTGCTTATGAAATGACTACATAACTTTATATATGTTGTATTGAATTATTTCAGGGACCCAAATATCAGGAGATTGTTAATATTCGCTTAGGAGATGGAACAACACGACGTGGACAAGTCTTGGAAGTAGATGGTGAGAAGGCTGTTGTTCAGGTGTGTATCCTTTACCTCTCGTATACCCTGTGACTTCAAGTGAATACATTGTAAAATATCACTGTCAATTGCTATCAGACTTATTTTTCTTATGTTTGATTTTTGCTTCGCTTTAACTTGTATGAATTAATTCTCTTCACTAACAAAGCAGTAATCGGTTGTCTCTTCTTTTTGTTGCTGCGATAATATTATTTTTCTATCCTTGTTTGTTTCACCAGGTTTTTGAAGGAACATCTGGAATTGACAACAAATATACAACTGTCCAGTTTACAGGAGAGGTACAGCATTGCTTTTCCTTGCATATATTTGTTTGAATAGAATTCTGCTGAGATGTATTTCTTGGTATTGGATGAAAGCAGATTGTCTAGATATTTAATTTTTCTGTTTTTATGTGTTCACTCACGCTTTAAAAGTTCCTTCTGGATCTAAATGAATCATGTACATAAAAAATGGCTCTGCAGCCAAATTGTGCTTTAAGATCGCGAATTTAGTATTGCATAATTTGCACATCTCAAGTGATTCTTGGTCCTTATTAAGTTCTTGGCTTATCCAAGAAACTATATTTCCTTCTAGAGCTGCTATAATCGGGTACTTGCAGTTACTTTTAGTATACTTGTAAGGAAATATCATTTTGTGAATAGAAATAATAGTTTTCTGAACTTGGCAGATTGGAGTGAGGCATTGTGATTCTGGAAAATTTGTCTTTTTGGTTAATAATGTTTATTCACTTGGATATTGTCGAGTTCTCCATTTTTTTGAATTTTCTCAAAGTTTCTTTCTTGCCTTCTTAAGAATGTTTACCCCATGATGCAGGTTTTAAAAACTCCTGTCTCATTGGATATGCTTGGTCGTATATTCAATGGCTCCGGGAAACCTATTGACAATGGTCCTCCAATTTTGCCTGAGGCTTACTTGGATATTTCTGGCGAGTGCCTCTAGAGAATGACCTAACATCTTTTGTCTGCATACATCTTTCGTCCACATTTAAAATGTATTCCAATTCTCTTCTTCAGGGAGTTCCATTAATCCTAGTGAGAGAACCTATCCTGAAGAAATGATACAGACAGGAATTTCAACAATTGATGTCATGAATTCAATTGCCAGAGGACAGAAAATTCCTCTCTTTTCTGCAGCTGGTCTTCCCCATAATGAAATCGCCGCCCAGATCTGTCGTCAGGCTGGTTTAGTGAAGCGGTTGGAGAAATCTGATAATCTCCTTGAGGTACAAGAAAATCCCATGTGTTGATGTGCCTACCATAGATAATCTCTTTATTACCCAGGATGCTCTATCTCTGCTGTTATTTGACATAGTAGAATAATGAGTGTCACTGCATTCAGTCTTGTCAATATTGTTACATTATGCTGATGAATAACCCAATATTGGTGGAGGAAAATTATTTTTGTTAGTATTATTGAAAGAACTTTCTCCCATCTTTAATATGAACATAAATCCCCAGATTAGGCCCCTATACCTAAGTTTGCTAGTAGCCTACTTTTAAAGATATCTTTTGAACAATTTATCATGTATGTCAAATACATGGTCCAGTAAATTGTATGATTCTTTTCAGTCTCTAATGGGTTTATTCTAACATATATCTGTCAAAATGCTGGGAAATTTTTTAGGGACCTTTATGCTCCCCAGCAACCAAGCAGTTTTATATATCATACTTAATTGTTTCATGTACTTGGTTGAGATTTATCAAGTTGTTTCTCATGATCTAAAAATGCTGCAGGATCAGGAAGACGACAATTTTGCCATTGTTTTTGCAGCTATGGGGGTTAACATGGAGACAGCACAGTTCTTCAAACGTGATTTCGAGGAAAATGGATCCATGGAGAGAGTGACTCTTTTCTTGAACCTGGTAATCATGTGATTTTTTGACCCATTAATGATACTCAGTGAAGTGATTATTATTTCTTCCAAGGTTTGTTAAGTGATGGATTGTCTTGTTTAATACAAACCTTCTCTGTGCAGGCCAATGACCCGACAATAGAACGCATCATTACTCCCCGCATTGCCCTCACAACTGCAGAATATTTAGCATATGAATGTGGGAAGCATGTTCTTGTCATATTGACAGATATGAGTTCTTATGCTGATGCTCTTCGTGAGGTAACATCTATGTCATTATTTTGTTTTCTGTGTAGGATTATCTTTCTTCAATATGACGTAACTCAAAACTACGCTAAAGGTGTTTCGTGAAATTTATTTTGACTGGGATTTTCTATCTAAACAATTTGCATAAAGTAAATTACCAATTTTCCACTATAGGTGTCTGCTGCACGAGAAGAAGTGCCTGGGAGGCGTGGGTATCCTGGTTATATGTATACTGATCTGGCAACAATCTATGAGCGAGCTGGACGTATTGAAGGAAGAAAGGGATCCATAACACAAATTCCTATCTTGACCATGCCCAATGATGGTAATATAATATTAGCCATCCACACCACCTAGCTGAACATTATTTTTATTTTTTCTGATGGATTGATAAAAGTTATCTTGTTTTATATATTGATTGATCAGATATTACTCATCCAACCCCGGATCTTACTGGTTATATCACTGAAGGACAGATTTATATTGACAGACAGCTTCATAATCGGCAGGTAGATATTTGTTGTAGCAGCATGGATTAGTTTGTTGATATTACAAACAATTTATGGTGGATCATCAGATTAAATGTCGCGCATGGAATTTCAACTCCAGAAGACCCACTGAGTGTCTGGCACATCTTAGATCATCTTTAGAATGATTACTATTGGTTTTCTCTACCACGATACTTTTTTGTGTAAATCTTAAGTTGAGGTTTCATCTCAATATTCAAAAAACTTTCAACTCAATATTCAAAAAACAAAGAATCTTACTTCAAGTTTATGGCTTTGCTAGAAGATGTAATTGGACAAAAATCAAAATGGAAAAGTTCTTCGGTTATCTTGGAGAGAGAAAAGCAAGAAAAAGTAGCATTGGAAGCAGTCAGGCAGTTGTATTTTGATTTCATGAGATCCATCCCGTCCCTTGAATGTATATAAAATTCCCTTTGGATATTGAGTAAACTACCTCGGAATGGCAGAGTTAGGAGAAAAAATGTGAACAATTTGCTAGTAAGTTTTATTAGAGGTTCTTATGTAAGAACATCTTCCGAGGATTCCTAGACAACTGTCAATGAGGTCTGGTACTTTGCTAAATTGCCATCTACAAGCATCTATTGAATTTATATTGGTCAGTCGACATTTTTAGTACACCGGCTCCTATCTATTTAAATGACTTGTGATGGCTTTACTTGTGCCAAATCTGAATATTCTTCCTGGTTGGCTATAACTATATTTTCCTTTTGGTTTGTCTATGGAATACAAATTTGCCGTGATAACATTTGCTTCCTTTTGTACTGAACAGATATATCCTCCAATTAATGTGCTTCCATCCTTGTCTCGTTTGATGAAAGTAAGTACCATAGATTGCTGGATTTGATTTGTTTGACTTCTTATTTTGAAGATTGGAAGATGATACACTGTTGATCTATATGATTTCACTTTTATGGTAGAGTGCTATTGGTGAGGGCATGACTCGCCGGGATCACTCGGATGTGTCTAATCAGGTATGATTAGTTATTCAAAGTGCAAAAGTTTGTCAAAGTTCTCCCCTCTTCTTTTTATTTTTTCCCCCATTTTCAGCTATATGCAAACTATGCAATCGGAAAGGATGTCCAGGCAATGAAAGCTGTAGTTGGAGAAGAAGCACTTTCTTCAGAGGATCTGGTCTGTACAGTGCTATAATGAGTTTGTCGCTGAACTTATCATTAATAATAATATTTAAGATGACTTATGGGACCATGTTTGTATTAACAGCTATATCTCGAGTTCCTTGATAAATTCGAAAGGAAGTTTGTAGCTCAAGGTGCTTATGACACCCGCAACATCTTCCAGTCACTTGATTTAGCATGGACACTCCTTCGGATCTTCCCGCGGGAGCTTCTTCATCGTATTCCAGCAAAGACGCTCGACCAGTACTACAGCCGGGATGCAGCCAATTGATTGGAAGAGACCAGCTCTTTGTACTGTAGTTTTCTGGTCAGTTGCCTTGGTGTGCACATTTTTGTGATATGTTCTATGATGTGTGTTTCTTTAGATTGTGCATCTCCTCAATCCGCTTGAAAAATAAAAGTTCTCGATTAGCCCCTTGAAGCCAAGGCTTTCAGCAGCTTAAGATGCGTATTCTTTGGGTGGTAACCTATTCAATTATGGCAAATACACTTCAACATTCTGTCTCAAATTAAGTCTTTGAAGCACTAATACCTTCTAGGATTTATTAAACCCTCTGTCGTATATTTATGTTATTGGAAACGGGACTTGTAGTTTCTGAGTTTGATGGGCTTTTTTGGAGAATTCTTTATTGCTGGACATTTTTACTCAGAGCTGCCTTTATGTCTCAAGCTTGTGGTGTATATTTTAGACTTGGTGTGGGTATTCCCATTGAAATTAGTCGTTTGCATGCAATTAAATTTTCGATTTTACTTTGCTCTTGTTATTGTATTTTCGATCCTCTTTTGCTCGGATGATTTGGACCCCCGAACATTCCCGGAGGCACCATTACAATTTTCCTTCTTCCACACATATGCGCACCAACACTAACAAATGGCCACAACCCTTTACAAACCAGACAGACCCGAAAATCATGAACCGGTCACAAAACTGGACACAGGTCTCAGTTACATTTTGGTGACCATTAGCTATTCGAAAATGCATGGATATTGCCAACTTGTACATTCAGACTGAACAGTAACATCTAACAACCAATATGGTCTCTTGGTATTACCGTTCATTGGGTAGCTATCTGTAATCTGTTTCCGAACAGCGATGGGATTGGGTTTTTCTTGTTGGATTGAGGTTGTATTTTGCATTTAAATATTGGTAAGAGCATCTCGAATGTAAAATTTGGTGAATTTTGCATTTTCATTTACATCTAGACAGATAAGAAAATGTAAATTTACATTTTCTACTGAAAAATCTAGCTTGCATCTATCCATTGGAGATATTTTCAACGATTTTAAAGATATAAATCTCTATTTTACATCACTATTGAAGATGCTTCAAGGATGTAATTTGGGTTAAAACAAGGCCGTTCAAGTGATAAAGAGCATTGTAGTTTGCACCTTTTGAGGGGGCTTCTTTGTCTAAATTTTCAAAATTTGGCCACAGATGTAAATGTTTCGATTTTTGGCCATTTTTCCAAAATGGAATGTTAAAATTGGACATTTATTCCAAATCCCTCTTGAATCGATTTTGCTTGGTGCCCGTTAGTTTCCTTTGTGCAAATTCAAGAGAATATTCGCATATTATTGAGTTTTAAGAGCCAGTTCACTTGATCTACGAGAAAGGTTGGTTATTAAAATATATTTGAAAACGAGAAGCAAGAAAAAACATCATGGGAAAAACAAGCCAACATACCTACACTGATTGTCACGAAATTCTGTTTTCAGTCTCTTTCTTGGGCATTGAAACTATACTAAGTATAAGGTCTCGAGTTAAAAGTTACAGTATACAATAAAGAATTTTAGTACTGCCCTTGTCTTTCAAGAAGCTCTACCTGTATTCACATGAGAGGCAATAACATTAGAAACAGAAGCATCAATTAGTGCCAGGCGAAAGAGTGTTAGAAGGCCGACTGACGCCACCCCCTTTGAAAGATATGTTTGGAGTCCTGATCGAACTAGCCCGACTCACAAGATTTGAGTCGAGAAAAACCACGATAACTGTGATGTCATCGTGGAAATGCCTTCGAACGCCACGGTCAATTTTCTTCAAGTCCGAGTACCTCATCTCCCTCTTCTTTGCTGCTTCTTGCAATGCTGCTTTCACCAATCTCCTAGCACTTCCCTGCACAAGTACCATGTACATAATTTGATTATATCTCTCTTTTTGGAGCCATGAGAAACTTCTGTTCTTTAGTCGTTTTCCAAGTATGGCAATAAAATGCAGCATGCTGCTCTTTAAATTAGGGAAATGATAACATTTAGAACATTGAAAATCTTACACTGCATGGATGATTTTGAACTATATTAACTGCATCTTGATTGGTAAGGTGCTCCCAAAGGCCATCTGATGCGAATATTATAAACTGGTCGTGAGGTAGCAATTGGTGCACAGAAATTGATGGTTCCGAGCTCAAAATCGGCCTTTTAAAAGGTTCACGAAGTCGGAACTTTGCATATAATGGCTCCCTGTTGAATTCAGTCTTTTTTAAATACACATCACCAATGGATCTTGAAATCTGTGAGACATAAAAAGGGCTAGTCATAATGCAGATCAAATTTAATGTGTGCCAGAACTCATAACAAAATCATATAGAACATTCTTTCCTTTTATAATTTTATTTTCTTTCTTTTCGTCTCTTATCATTTTGAGTAACAGATATATCAGAGTGAGATATGCATTAGATATATATCTATAAGCTGTGATATATATCTACAAGCTGTACTTCTATTAGTTTGTTTGTCTCAGAAGAAATATGGGAAAGTCAAAAATCATCTTTCAGAGAGGAAAGATGAGACTTGCTGAAAACAGCTATTCAATTTAATGCTTGTTTGGTAGTGCTTATAAGTTGTATGTCTTACGAAATGTATAGATAATAAGTGTAGATCTTACAAAGGAACAGTCCATGAAAAAAATGTTCTATGGATGCATTAAAAGTTAGCCAAGAATGTGCTAGACAAATTTTGGCTGTAGTCATTGGGACACATTTCATTTGGTATAGATCTGAAGAGTAGCATGATCCTTTTGTATATAGATAAAAGTATAAAGCTATATTGCCAGAGAATTTTATGATATTCTAGTGAACAGTATGATTTAGCAACAGTTGAAAGAAATTCATTATAACATTGCCTTGCTAGCTGGATCCATCTATAACAAGCTTGTATTGTTGACCAAAGTGGTAATGGATCAACAATTACCGGGTACATGTCAGCCAACTAATTTAGGGGTAGAAAGATGAAGGCTTCAAATTTTCTGCAACAGTCCAGCGAGGTTGAGAACCAATGATTGCACAATAGCAAGATCAATATCAAACCGTAAATTTAACTGATATTACTGACATTATTACTTCCTTTCGAGATTTTCCAGCACTCTGCCTGAAGCATTGTGCCTATTTTTTTATTGAGGTTAAAGTACGTAGCAATATAGAAAGTAACATGATGTAATGAGTCAATTTTGAAGCATCAAACGCATCAAAAATGACAGATCAGCAAGAGCAATAACTACCAGAAAGAAAGACAAAAAACCAACCTGTATAAGGCCCTTCACACGCCACACATTATGCTTTAGAACAACAATTTGTGAGTCATCAGGGTGCAGAGATTTCAGTTCCTGTCTAACAGATTCAATACTCGCATTATGTTCTGAAGAGAGCTGAATAGATATTACTTCCCCTGTTGATTTAACAAGTCTCCCTAAAACAGCACGGGAATCACCAAGATTGGCAATATAGAGTGTTCCATTGCAGATAACTCCGACAAGGCAGCACGAACCAACTGCTGCAATCTGTGGATTCGAAGACCATTGTCTGCTGACAAATGAGAAAAAACCATCTTCTGTTGCTTGAAGTGCCTTACGTATTACCTCCACTGACATAGACTGATGCTCTGCAGTAAACGCTGCAAAATTGGGAATCAGCAGTTGATCTCATGGCTCCAAAAACAGTAAAAGGTTAATTTTCACAGCCAAGTGAAATATCAAAAAGGATTAGTCTTTCTCATAATCTATGCTGTTTTTATTTGGTCTTCGCATTCAGAACTAAACATTACCAAGAACTTCACGAAATTAAGTGCTCAAAATTTGCAAGCAATACACTTTTCACAGGTTTACTTCATGAGTAAGAAACAGCTCTAGGGTAATATACATGCTAGATCAGATGCTCTATTCTAATGTGTTCCAGTCTTTTTTCTTGATAAAACCATAAAGACATTGAAGATAACAGCAAGTCTGAATCCTAAAGAACATGGTAGACTTACTCTTGAGGTGTCGAAAGAGGTGTTCATTAATGAATCTAGAAGTCTCTGGGCCACCATGTCCATCGTAAATCCCCACAAAAGTACCATACGGCCCAGAATCGTGCAAGCTCAAGCAACCAGATTCAAGTTGGCTCTGATCCTCGAGTAAATTATTAGCTTGAACTACAGCCATTGAAAACTCTCCATTAAATTGTTGCCCTGTATCCTTGTACCATAGAAGCCCGTCTTGACGCCCTCCAGCATCAGAAGCCGTGGAACCATATTGATCCGCCCTTGGCCGAAAACAGGCCCTCAAAAATTTCATTAAACCCAATAACATACCTCATCTCATCCGAACCACCCTCCAAATTATGCACATCTATCGAGGTCTCAAAGTAACTAAGACCCAAATAAACCTCAATATGCAATCACTTATTAAACTATCAATTCCTCAAGAAAGCGAAGCTATATGCAGTACAAATTTAGATGAGGAAAAACAACAAACACAAAGCAACCAAAATTAGAACTTGAACAAAACGAAACAGCTCAACAAAATAACTCCATCGAAGTATATATATAGAGGTACAAAGTTTATGTTTAATTCAGCTCAGAATTGTTGCAGGCTACCAAGAATCAAGGTCTTCCAATATGGAAACAGATCTCTGACTGAAATAAAGTTCGTTCAAAGTTTAACACCGAGGAAAAGGGGCAGGAAGCTTTGAAAATTTAAAACAAGAGTGGTCAAAAGTTACGTTTTCTTCGTAGAACGGTTTGGTCAGCCAGTTCAGATTCTAGAAGGTTCATTCCCAAAAAAAAAGAAAAAAAAAACCGAATAAACAAAAACCAATTTCTCAAAATCTCAAAACTCTCCAGTCAAGTAATTCAACAGTACAATCTTCCCAGATTAAACAACAAGAAACCCGCATCAAAGATTTTACCTTTTGGAAAAGAGGTTTAGATCCGTGGATCCATCAAATCAAAAAACAAATTGAAGGGAATGATGATGAAGATATGAGGCGATATAAGAGGAAAAAACACACATAAGGGCGAGGAAAACAGGGCTGAAAAAGAATTATCAATTATGATGCGTTTGAATGAGCCAACTTCAATTAAAAAAAACAAAGAATTGAAAGCTTGAAGCCAGCAAAGTAGTGGACCGGTTTGGGCTCCCCACTGAATTGCAGACAGAGAAAATCTAGAGAGAGAAGAAAGGAAAATAGAAAATATTGTAATACCAAAATAAAAAATGAAAAAATAAAATATCATTTGTTATAGAGTCAACGAAGCTTGGTCCAGATAGAGCGAAACACTTTTGCATGGACTTTCCATGCAACTTGCATGACACGTGGAGCTCATTCGTGTAACTTTTATTTTAGTAGGTTTATTTAATGAACTAATTAAAAATTTAAAATAAAATTATATAATTTGATTATAATTAAAAGTTGCATAAAAGTTATTTTTCTCTTTAAAGCTTAAACTACTTTAAGCATAACTTCATTATGATTTGATTAGGTCGTAAACCTAAAATTTTATTTAATGATTTTTAAATGATAATGTTATTTCTCGTTCTTAATGAAGCATAGATCATTAAACCAAAACATTGACTTATTTGACAATATTATAATAAGACTTGTGATGTGAATAAACTGCTTAAAATAACATCTTATACTCGTAAATTAGTATTTTCACTTCGTTGGGATAAATTGATGTAATAAAAGTTAAAAGAGATGACACAAAAAAATGGCAAGTATGACAAATTGATTTTGTCTAGCTCCAAAACTTCGTTCAAGTTGATGTCTTCACTAGCATAAAATGGACTTGAGACCATTGCTTCAAACCTTAGATTTGCGACACCCCAGCATGATCGGTTGGAATGTAATACATGACGTTTCAATTTATTATATGGTTTGATACATCTAACATGTTTTGATTGTTCATCCAAGTTGATTTTTACCGCCACAACTCCATTCCTCCATTTTAATTCTCATCTCACCAACATTGAAAAGATCACCACAAAAAAAAATAAAAAAAATGTAGATATGTTAGATCTTCTTCTTGTTGTCAAACTCGTTCTCCAATGAGAAAGCAATCGAGATTCTCCACCATTATTTAAACCTCCAATACCTAAAATACACCACCATCAATATCCAAAGTCGTCCCACCATTAGCCAACGACCTCTAGCAATTATTTTCTCCAAATCTCAATGGGACAGATTATCCATTACTTTCACAATTCACAACGTAAACGACCACACCATTGAACACTAGCAACCAATATCCACCACCAACATGCTCAAAATCTAGCAACCACCCTTATTACATGCACACTTTTGTAACAAATGTAACACAAAACTTTTGTAAGAAAATACATTTCACTGTTTTTTAGTCATTAGTTTATTTTATTGGTGTACTTGTGTAAACTTCTCTAAAAAGAACATTAGGCCCACTCAAAAATTCAAAAAAGTACCCAGCCCACTGAACTGTCCCGCAGCCCAAATCGATCCCTGATTCTCTCTCTAGCGATTTGGTCCTCAATCCATTTTCCGCCACCTCGCCCGTAGTGTCGCCTGAGAAGTGTCAGAACCAGCTAGAGAGCAGCCCGAGAACGTTGCCATCGAAACCACACCCTTCACCACCGCGCCTGTAGTTGACCAATTATCCTTTTAATCTTGTTTCTATTTTTTGTTTTAATTTTCTCTCAATCCTTCAGTTATACTTCTGGAATATTGAATATGAATAGAGGCTGTCATATTTTGTTCCCATTAGGATTTGGGATTTATTAGATGATGTTTGAGTTTATTATGCTATTACTTATTGGTAACTTGAATTCGGTTGTTTTTGTAAGCAAATTTCAAATTGTTTTAGTTTATTTTTACACAAGATTTCTATAGCTCATTGTTAATGTGTATAGGGAATGTCATGTTTAGTCACCTACTAGGATTTGGTTTTCAGTTATTAGACTGTTTTTGTGTGTGTATAGATGCTGTTTCATTATTTTATGCTATGAGTAATTTGAATTCAGTACTTTGAATACAGTGGTTAGATGTATATTTGGCAAAGATATACAAACACTTGGGTTATAAAGATGCTGCATATAAGTTGGGGATCTGCTTCTTGGATTTATTAAAGAAGAAAGAAAGTGATATAAAAGTGGAGATATTGGGGTGGGTGGCTGTTAGGGGTATGGTTGAACTGTGTTATACTCGTATAGGGATAGGTAGATGCTTAAAGAGAAAAGCTGCTGATTTTTCAGACTTGTGAGTTAAACAGATAGGGAAAATACGAAGAGACGCGGAAAGGAAAGTTGACTATGACGAGTTTGATGAGAAGAAGATCAAATGGCATAAAATGAGTAACTCAGAGAATAATTTGATTGTTATAACTAAGGATTCACTGCGTCAAGTTTTGATTACCTAGTCTTACAAATTTTGTCCAAGTCTCTAATTACGTATCTTTTATCAAAAGTAAAACAAATGTTTTGAGATTGCTAATATGTCCCTCTTATGATTTATTGAGGATTTGAACTACATTTATTTTTCTTGAGTTTTGAGTAAATTATTGTTTTATTGACTGTGTTGACTTAAGATCCTGTGTGAAAGTATTTAAGTAAAAGGTATTTGTATTGCATGTTTTGTCTTTTGTTAATGTATTGTGTTAAATATGCATATTGAAGGCTAAGACTCACGGTTATATCACACTCCCCATGCTGCAGTTTTGCCAAATTTTCTTTTCTATTTTCTCCAGCTGTCACATTTTACCTTTTCTATTCTTTTGATGCAGAACAAGAATAAATTATTCTAAATATGGCATTTGGAGTAGACTGAGGCGAACACAACTTAAATTTCTTTCCCAGTTCAAGAGATGGTATTTTCAAATCAATAAAGTCATGAGCACAGGAAAAGTTTAACGTAATTTATACCGATGCTGATGTGGCAAAATGTAAGTGTTCTTTTTTCTTTTTCTTTTTATTTTTCTTTCCCCCATCCTCCAATGATGTCGCGCTATGTGTTGTCGGTAGGATTTTTCTGTCAAAAAATTATGTACATGTAACATTATTCTTTTCAAATTCACATTCCAATTGCTATGGATAATCTTAGTTCACATACCAGCATTCCGATTGTAAATAACTCATATTTGATCATAAATAATATCCAATTGCAGTTCGCCAACAATGTCAGATTCTTTGCAGCATCCATTCAGGTAATTTTATGCATTGTCTTTGTAATGCAAGCTTGTGTACTTCTGTGTCTATATAATATTCACAAATTCGAAATAGTTTTATACTATTTCTCGTGGAGAATAGAATTGCATTTTTTAATGCTATGTATTTCAGGCTAAAGAGAAGAAGGAAGAGAAGGACACCAGTGGGCCTAGATTGAACGAGCAAATTACGGCCCAGATCCTTAGACTCGTTACTGATGAAGGTGTGCCTTAAAAGTTATTGAAATCTTTGTGATATATATACTATATGGTTGCAAGCTTGTGTACTTCTGTGTCTATATAATATTCACAAATTCGAAATAGTTTTATACTATTTCTCGTGGAGAATAGAATTGCATTTTTTAATGCTATGTATTTCAGGCTAAAGAGAAGAAGGAAGAGAAGGACACCAGTGGGCCTAGATTGAACGAGCAAATTACGGCCCAGATCCTTAGACTCGTTACTGATGAAGGTGTGCCTTAAAAGTTATTGAAATCTTTGTGATATATATACTATATGGTCAGCCATTATATATTACAAAAATCCCAGCTTTCTGACTGTTATTGGTTGCGTAAAACTAGAAGGAATATTTAAGATTGAACAACTTATGTATAACCTTTGTTTTTGGTTGATAGAGTAAACTCGGATGCTGCCTTTTTTGATTGCCTAAGTAAACTTCAATGCTGCATTTGATGGCTTGAAACTTTGCCCTCAGAGTTCAGTATATATTAAAATGAGATTTTTTTCGAAAATGGGCTTTGAAATAGTGATTTTTGAAGAATGTGTGGTTGAAAAGTATGAAAAAATTTGGGTTTACATGCAAAATAATTTTTTGTGTGGATATGAGGTTGAAAATGAGCTTGAGAAAAAAAGAGTTTTAATTTAAGCGATGTCAAACAGGGGCTTAGTTGCTTGGTTAAAAATAGTCCTATATATAGCAGTTCTTGTGTATACAAAAATATTTTTGTCAAGGGTATAGTTTGTGTTCTTAAATAGCCGATCTTTTATTATGTCTATTGTACTTGAACAGACATAATGAACTATTTGGATCAGTTATATGTCATGTAGATATTTGAATTCAGTAACATGTTATCTGGGATTTTTTTATTTGGGTGGTGTTAAGGCAGGAAGCACTGAAACATGCGAAGAATCTCAAACTGGATTTAGTTTGAGGTAACCTATATAAGGAAAAAACTTATAGCAAGCTTATGAGCAACAATTCACTCTTTTATAATGATGATAAATATTACTTCCGAGAAATATTGCATTAGTACCAATTACAATTCAAGATATAAGATGTTTTCTTCTGTTCCAAATACTTCCTACTTCTGTCTTTTCTTTTTCCGAGATGTGATCTTATAAAAAAATTAGCAGCAAGTCTAGGCACATATGGATGTTTTACAAAAGAATTTGGTATATCACGTAGGTAAGAATGGATGCGAAGGAGGGACGGAGCACGGGTTGGCATATCTAAACATGAAAGGAAGATAAGCACTAGAGTATATGGCTGGAAATTCCCAGGCCTATTGGGATGCAGTGCAGAGACCTAATTCATCTAAAGTCATTTTATTCTTTAATTCTCTCTCATCATGCTTCGGAAGGTGATTATCAAAATATGGAACTCTTACATCTGACATCATCCTAGTCTCTCTTTATCACTTTTTTTCCCTGTAAAAGCCTAGCTAAACCAATTCTCTACTTACTTTTGTACTTGTCGTCCACCACTATGCTCTATTGTGAGTATCAACCCCAAATCTTATTAATGATTCATTCAAGAGAATGCTAGCAGAGGATTGCAGTTGCAAGACAATCAGGCCTAATGTAATGGATATAGAAAAATTGAAAACTTTCTAGTAAATAGGATTTTTTTGGAAGTCAGACCATTTATCTCAAGAATATTTTCCTAAAAGGATTTCCTCCATAAAGATGTTGCCTTTTGGCACGCATGACACGAGAGAGAAATATACATGACATTGGGGGGATAATATAAGACATCATGTTTCCTCGCTGTCGCTTAATTAAGCATGATAATATGTTGCTGCCTTTGTAATTCTTTGTAACTAGAATGGTACTTTAATAGATGGCATAGAGTTTCCAAGTGACTTTTTTTGGTGTTGTGGGAGAGGGGGAGATTTAATCTTATGCTTATTTCTCCCTGTAAAAGTTTTTGATTTAGTGCTTATTTGGTAAAAACTTCACTAAAAATTATTAACCGCACATTTCATGGGACCCACACATTACATCAACTTTTTAACCACACATTACATCAACTTTTATCAAAATCTGCTAAAACTTTTATCTAAATCTCTATTGAACATTACCTTACATTTTGTAGGTTGATAGAAATGCCAAGCAACCTGTATGCAAAATTGTGGACTACAGCAAAGAGAAGTACCAACAACAATTAAAGGAAAAAGAGCGTTGTAAAAGCAAGGCAAGTTACTTTTTTTCAAATTGATATGGTACTTTGGATGTAGTTTTCTTGTAATAATTTCCAGCTAAGAAACATGTAAGGACTTAATAAGCTTCTCATGTTATCAAAAGATTGAGAACACACTTTCTCATAATCACATTTGGTGATGCTGGATGTATAGGAACGATTGTAAGAGTAGGGGAAAGGGGAGGAAGAAGAGAAAGGAGGGAGAAAAGAGAGGAGGGGGAGAGGAAGAGAGAAATTGGAGAAGAAAATATCAATTATTCATTCATTCAAAGGTTGTCTTTATTACATTGCATAGCCCCCTTTATATAGGGTTTCAAAGGACCTTATTCTAAGTAAGAAAATATTATAAAAGCTAATAAATAAAATCATTATAATGTTTCTTAAAATACGATTTAAAATTGGAAACTAAATAAATAAAATCCCTTATAATACTCCATCATTAGGTTGTAGCTCTGTTGGTATGCTTGAAACCTTGATGAGGTTTTCTGAAACTTCTGTTCCTTTTTCCTTACCGCCACCCTTAAAAGGCTCCATATCTCTCTAATGCTAAAGAAAATATATGCACTAAAATTCTTCAGTTATCAGGAAAGATAAATGTGTTAATTTTTCTTTTTCATATAATGTTCATTGCTTAGCAGCACTCACAATTCACAGAGTGCGGGTGAAGGTGTATGTGTGTTGTCATGTCCATAATCCAAATTCCAAGGTTTGCCATTTTGGAGTATCTATTAAGTACATGAAATATTAATATTTTTGTAATTTTACAAAGCTGGAAATTGCACCAGGATTATTGTATCATTTGCCTATCCATAGTCTTTAGTTTGGATCCCAACATTGAGTGGCGAAATAAGTGACTAAGATGAGACCAACTCCAAGTACTCAATATGTGATCACAGAAGATTAACACTAGCATTTTTAATTGAGGGATGATTCCACCATTATGTTCAATGAATTTGCAACAGCGATAAGGATTTCAAATGGTACAACAGCAAACACATGGTTTTGAGGAGGAAAAATGTGGATTTTGAATGCATTACTTGAGTATCTAGTTTGTTTGACTTATTGATTACTGCAGTGTGAACTTAAGAAAGGAGCTTGCAAAGAAGTTCAATTTGCAGCTAAAATTGTAAGGTTTTAGCTTGTTATTTGTCCTTTTCATACCATACCACTTTTTAAGTGTTGCTATTGAGTTGGAAAGAACAATCTTTCACAGGAACAGGATCTGAAAAAATCTCTCTTCATAAAGTGAGTACTTGTCTAAATTGTTTCTTTAGCCTCCTGTTATCTGAACTTGGTCTTTTTTTTTTTTTTTGATCGGTAAATGTGAATTATATTGATCAAAACCATGTACAAAAACTCCGGCATTCCCGGGCAAAAGAAACTAAAAAAAAAAAAAAACAATCTAGAGACCTAAAGCAATGGACTCGTAACTAATCAAAACATTCGGATACAAAGAAAACATAACTTTGTATATGTGTGTTTTAATCGTATGAGTAGTACAATCAACATTCAATTTAAGATCTTCAAAAATCAACTTGTTCCTTCCCATCTAAATATGGTAGACTTTGGTCACAAGTGCAATACATTTCACCTTGCTATGCCAAGTAGTGCCTCGACTCTCCTTTTTAATCCAATGCGCTTTGAATTGTAGACATAGATCGCTTGAGACCCACCCATGTACGTATATTATCCCAAACTGATCGGCTGAAAAAACATTCAAAAAACAAGTGCGCCAAAGATTCACCCGTAAGTGTACAAAAGCTACATCGGTTGTCTATCTCGAACTTGGTCTTTGGATGTACTTTACATGTATTGCTTTTTTCACTCAGAGAAGAAAATGTTGAATTTCACCCCGCTTTAAATGAAAACTTATGCTTCATACAACTTATGGTAATTATGAGATACTTTCGAACTATAACTCCCAGAAACAAAAAGATATGCAGATGAAGGCAGATACAGCTAAGAGACTCATGGAAAGTGGTTATCGAGTCAAGGTATTCTCTTTTCCTCGTTCAGATGTAGAAAACATGCCTTGTTCTGTTTCTGGAAGGAGTAAGGATTTTCTTTGATATTTTTCTAGCATGAGGGTCCACGAGTCAAGTAAAATTAGAAACACTTCAGGACAAAGTGATTGAAACGTTTTATCCATAATCTTTAGAACACCATTTAGCAAGAGACAGATCCATTTTATTGGCATTTGAACTTGTTATCCCATTGAAAGTTAGAATTGCTTCATGAATCTTATCGTTGTCCCTTGTTTAATGATTGTAGACAAATTATGAGATCTGATATTAAGAATTGTGCCAGAAAAATGTGATGCACTCTATCCTTGTCATTCATCATTCTTCTTCCACTTTTTACAGCCATTGAGCCTTCTGACGAGTTGGACCTGGAAAGTTTACTCTCTCTATTTTCTGCTTTGGTACGACTATAATTCCATTCTTCTTGTGGTTTCATATGATGACCTGTTGTTGACTCATTGTATGCTTACAAAGTGTTGCTTTATATCAGATTGAAGATGTTGCCATTGTGGAAAGTGAACCAAGAGTTGACAAACAACAGGCTTACGTGGTTGTTAGGCATGCCAAGTTTGGTCCATCTAAAAAAGGCTTTGGAAAGAAAGTTTCTAAAACTACTGAATTGACGAGCTACTCTGCTCAAAAGGCTAAAGTTTCATCACAAACTGTCAGATCTTCCAGTCAAAACCTGCACTTGAATGAAAATACTGATGCTGTGAAATCTGGATCAAAAAGTGATGATTATATCTCTCCTGAAGAATTGTCAGATGCAGATGTAGCGAGCAATAAATCTAATTGGGGTGTTTTCAAGGGAGAGGATGATTTCAACAAATTTTTTGACAGTACGGAGGATGCAAATGGATATGCCAGGAGTTGAAGACATGAAAAGTAACAGTACTCTCTTCAGCAGATGCAACCTCCAGACCAGTAGTTGATTCTGCAAGAGCACATACAGCTTCATCCATGTCAATGGAGGTCCCAAAACCTGGGACCGAAAATAGATACGCCAGAGATCCAACAGAAATCCTTTGATGGGCCCTGGCACGAGAAACACAATCAAACAAGTCCCCCAGTTTTCTAACTATGGGAGGCAATCGCAACTTAATATGAATATGCCCCCTCTAGTGAAAGAAACTTCACGAGTAGAAACACCTACTGATAAGGATCGCAATCAAGATTCTTCTCATTCAGACGTTCCCAATTTGGCAGCTGAAAGTTACGGTATTTTTAGTAGGTGACAAGTCAATAGATGTGTGAAAAGAAATCCTTCTGATTCTGCAAGAAGTCCTAGCACGGTAGGTTTCTCATAGAAATTCTTCCATTTCAGATTCGGAACTGGCAGAGGGTCCGGTGTTGAGAGAACCCAAATGGGATCCTGAAAACGATGAACGAAAACCATGCAGAAACCGTAGGCCAGTGAATCAAGGTGTTCTCGTGTTTTTGCCAAAGTCTTTCGTTATCTAGTTGGCCTAGACTTGTACTACTTATAAGGAGATAGGAACTTGCAACCATATTCAATCCCCCCTCTGGTAAGTTTTGTACCAGTAACTACTGGAAAGTACGGTTTCAATATTTCCCATACGTACGGGGGGGGGGGAGGGGGAGGGGGGGGGGGGGGGGGGAGGGGGGGAAAGGGAAAGCTGCCTTTAAAGATGTTACTATTATAAATTGGGCAAAAAAATTTTTAAGGGAAAAATTGCGAAAAGGTAATTAAGTTCGTAAATATAAGGTGTGAGCTAAATATTGCATCAACTTTCAAAATGTTACTTTTATTAATGCTGTGATGTTTTAAAGAATAATGCTATATAACACCAATTTAAGTGGTCAAAGTTGATAGTTGATTAAAGAATAATGTTATATTGTATTTAAGTAATTTATCATTCAATCATGCGACTGGTGCTTGACGTTAATGGTATTGAGCAATATTATTATTATTATTATTTTTAATGCTCTTAGGAGTTGATTCGTTTTTCAAACTCAATATCACTAAATAAAATCAGAATCTTTTGTGTTTTCAAGATGTACTAACAGAATTTTTGGATGAAGTAAAGATAAATTACGTAATTAATAAAAAGTTGTGAAAAATATGACAATAAAGGTTCCGAAAAATGTATAATGAGTGGTAAAGGTTTGAATGTTTATGGAAAATTTCATAACTACAATAATTTAAGAATATAATTTTAAAATTAACAAACTTTTAAAAATCAGGTCATATATGACTATGACTTGTTAATAAATGATTGTTATTTTTAAATTGTGTAATTGTGATTTAGTATGATATTTGATTGTGAAATAATTTATAGGTGGCTTGTTAGTCTGTTTTAGCGTGTATTGTGACTTAATTTGTTTTATATGACATTTATATTTAAGAATTTATCGACACGTGACTTATGAATTTGTGCATCTATGACAACGATCATTTATGAACTATGAGACTGTGATTAATTATAGGATTGTGCTAGATGAACAGGGCCGAGGGGTGATGAGGCGCCCTTATAGGCATGCCACTTGTCGAGCATACATAGTCCTATTCAAACAGCTTTATCCGAAATCACATTATCCAATTATAATTCATGTATATTCATTCATGTGACCACCTAATTTTTTAACATTGCCTGTTTAATGAAATTCAATTTAAAAAATATGATTTCAGGTAATTTCTCAATGTTTAGCCCCTCTTTGGTCTCCATTCCTTTCATATTTTTCAAACTTATTTTCGAATACACATTTTATAATATTCATAAATTTTTATTTATTTTATTTATTAATTTTTCATTCATAGATTAATCAACTTTTATCAAAATTTAATCCAAACCAAAAATGGGCTTATTGTGCGACTGAGTTGGGCTGTTTCGTTATAATTTAGGGCTCGAGTGCGTTACAGTGATCAATCAAGGTGTAGCCAATTTTTCTTTAAGTCTTCATTGAAAAAATGGCTACGATCACTTTTTATTGGCCCAAGCCCTTGCTGGCGCCGTGAAAAATCCCCAAATTTTCTTCTTCGACTAAGAAATCCTCTCTTTCGGTTTGCTCGCTCGAATCACTGGTAATATTTTTTTTTCCACTGGGTTGATTTTGATTGAACCGTGATTTCCTCTAGCATTCTTTTTATTCGTTGATTAGCTTGAAAATTTAGTGCTTTGTTTAGTAACCTGAAATTTCATATTATTGATGTTGAATCTCTTTCTAGGTTTCAAGAGAGCGTAAAACTTGGTCAATTAATATGTTGGCCTTCTACAGTTACTTTTCTGTTATGGTCTTGCTTAGGGTATATGTTTGTGTTTTTCTTTATGGATTGCAGGGATCACAGGAGATAAAATATGGCTGAAGAAGGGAGAGTGCATCCTGATTGCAGAAATGCATCGAACCCATATCACGAATGTGGTGAATACTGCTTCAAGGTTATTGCTGAAACAAAGAAGAAGACGAACAAAAATGATACGGGTTGGTTTCTTATTTATAATATCCTCGCTTCTTTTGTTAATCCTGTATTGATTCTGGTAGTCGAAAATTTGGATCTTTTAATTAATTATATCAAATTATAATTGAATGATATCATTTATGTTGACGCCACTAATTTCTACAATTGCCTGAAACACTGTGGCACCTTGATCGGCTGTGGAATTTTTAATAGCCAACAATTTCTTCATCTTCTTTGTATTTTGCTTTGGGGCAAGCAGGAGAGGGAGAGAAAGTGGTAAGCTTGGCTGCAATGGGTAGAGAAAGTGGGACATCAAACTTTATGGCTGGACACATAGCATCCGAAGCAAAATTAGATGATGTGGATCAATAAATAGTTAATTATTTAATTCTTGGATCTCTTTTCCAAGAAGATAATTCATAAACAGATTTTGGATGCATTTTATTTATTATGAAGTACCTAACAGTTTTCCATACCCTGCGCTAGGAATGCAAGTTGTTAGTGATAGTGGTGCCATTCTGGATCAGGAGGAAAAACATGAAAGAGATGGCGAGGGAGGTGATTCTGATGGAGAGGCTGGTACTGATGGAGAAGATAACACAGAAAAAGATTTCAAGAATCTTACTGGAAGACAAAAGAGGTTATTTGAGTTGAGACTGAAAATGGTGAGGGAATATCAGCATTTGAAAAATGATGTCAACTGTATATTCTTGTTGAGTGAAAAGCATAAATACACATCTAACTTATGCTCTTCCATGAATGGATTATTATGCTTCGTGATTTTATGTGTAATACATCATGGCTTGTGAATTCATACATGCAGAATGAGGCAAGAAAAGCCAACCAGACTGCCATGGTTTCCGAGAAGAAAAGAATGGAACCTCCTGAAGAGTCTAGAGGAATTTCTAAGCAAAAATGGCTAGAGGAGAGGAAGAAGAAAATTGGTAGACTACTTGATGCCAATGGTTTGGATATGAGCAAAGCATATATGCTGGACACGCAAGATATGGCAGAGTCGAAGTATAAAAAATGGGAGAAGGAGCCTGCTCCTGGTGGTTGGGACGGTATGAACAATTATTGCTTCATTGTTATAATGTTCCTTACTTGTGTAAGTTCTTATTAATAGCTTTTGTGCATGGCCGCACCAAAATTGTCCGAAATTTGCATTATACCATTGCTGATATATAATTATAGCTTAATTTGTACTGGATTTGTTATTCGTAGCCATTGGATAAATGTTCAAAAATTATATGATAATTTACAATAAGCCGTACTGCACCTGAACTTAATGAGGTCATCAAATGGTTTCACAATTGCTAATATCTTATTTTGGGATAAATGGATGATGTATTGATAATATTACGTTGAATATGAAATGTCCTTCGAAATCACCTGCAGAATTATTCTATCATGAAATTCTTCAATTAGTAGTGAATAAGAATTGAAGCTGGAAGTGAATATTTCACACTTTGTGCGTGCATCACATATCATGTACACAAATTGGATACTTATTTTAGGAAACATAAATTAAGATTTTATTTAATAGATTCTCTAGTATTTTATGAGTTGTTTCTTATCTGAATTTAATAGATTCTCTAGTATTTTATTATTTGTTTCTTACCTATATTAAACTAGTCTAAACCCTGTATAAAGGGCGCTTCTGCATTGTAATAGTTAGACTTTGATACGAAATAAATTGATAAATTTTCTTTCTAAATTCTCTCTATTCTTCCTCTTCTTCTCTCTCTTCTTCTTTCTTTTCTCAATCTTGTTCTGGTTCGGTTGTGTCCTACGTCAGCTGGACCTTTTGTTCAATACAGAAGTGAATTGAAGTTCCGTTCTTATTTCTCAGCATATAAGACATCAATGTAAAATTACAACAGTTGTTTATTCTTGTTTTGTTGATAAAATGAACTGAACCTATCTATATTTAGATTATATCTTTCAGTTGTAAGCCTTTCATCCTTACAAGTTACTTGGATATTTGTATAATTTTCACTCCTCTTTCCTATAAGGACGACTAATTCGCTCTGTAAATGTTCTGTTATCATTCGTGACATGAAGTAATTTTTAATACATTTACAGGTTTTGCAGGCAGATTTACAGATCATATAATTAACATTTGAGTTTATGTTTTTGCAGTTTTTAATCAAAGGACACTGTACAATGCATACAAGAAAAGGACAAAGAACATTGAGGTAGACCTTGATGAGTACGGCAAAATGAAAGAATCTGATCCAGAATTCTACCGAGAGGCTTCAAGCCTTCAATATGGAAAGGTGAGCATGGTTAATACTTTTGGATCCAAGTTCATTTTAGTGTGATTTTTTTATGGAGATGCTCAATTCTTGTGTTTTATAAATGGTGGACAGGCTCCAAAGATATCAGAAGAAAAAATTGAGAAAATGGTGAAGGAGCTTAAGGACAAGGAGGAGAAAGCGAGGTCCTTTAGCAGACGGAGAAAATACCGTGAAGAAAAGGATATTGACTCCATTAATGACCGCAATGAACATTTCAATAAGAAGATTGAGCGAGCATTTGGCAAATACACTCTGGAGATCAAGAACAACCTCGAGAGAGGAACTGCTTTGCCAGATTAAGGTACAGCCATGTTACTGTACCATGTAATTATACCTTTTCATCGGGGTATACAACTCGTTCTTTTGTGTGTGTGTGTGTGTGTGTGTGTGTGTAAGGCACTTTTATATTCTGTCTGTGCTGTTGGTGTATCCTTATTCTTATGGAAATTAGGAGGATGCAAAACTGCATCCTTTTTTTTTTTTTTTTTTTTGTTATGCTTATGGTGTATGATGATGTTTCTATTGTCCAAAACAAAGAAAAATTCATTGAGCCACTCTGTACAAATCTTCAAGCATGCAGAAATTTTTTGGAGGTTTCATAAACATTGTTGGATATGCAATTACACACTTGATATAAAATGTGACCCCCCTACCTTTGCCTAATCAACAAAAGAAGAAAGAGAAGTAACAAATGAAAAGCATATAGGCATTATCATATTCTACAGTTTTTCATTTCCCTGGATTGAACCAAAGAATCATCGTGGAAGATATAATGAGTAAAAAATGTTCTCAACTGCTATTTTTATGAAAAAGTACAGCCGAACTGAATAAACAAGATACTGAACACACATTAATAAGCAACTAAGAGCTGCCATTAACGTTGGATCTAATATATGTGTTGCGTTGTTGTAATTTGAAGAAAATGGTTCCAAGTCGAGGTGCTTGTCTTTGAGTCGAGTGTTATGGCTTGGTGGAAAACCAGAGAATTTGCCAAAAAGCTTGTCTTTGACATTGCGCGCAAGTGTTTTTGAGTGAAAGTCATTGATATTTTGTCAATCACACGTTAGGAAATGCTATGCTTATTTCAGGATTGATGATAAGTCCTTACACCATATGTTCACGTCTCCTTAATTATTAAAACTTGTGGATTGGGATATTAAATTTCATATCATATCCACGTTATGCCATTGCGTGACATTCTGATCTGATGTGGATAGCGATGTCAAAATATTGAAAAGATTAACCTCGCTAACATGAAAGATGGAGAGCAAACTCTGGATGAAGAGACCCACAATATTCTTTATTAGGTAGAATCATGTTAAAGATGCCTATCCTGAAACCATAATGTGCCTTGGATAATTCACGTCTCAAAGTTGTTATTGAGAGCCCTCGGAGCCAGCCACGACGATGCAATTATGAGGGACACGTTCTACCACTGAACTAATAGCCTGTCGTGAGAACGTTCCATTGGGACCCACTATGCAAAAAGCAAGAGAACCCAATCCCTCTCTTCCCTTTTTATATTTAATCGTAGTGTTTTATGTTTTGTGGAGTGATCATTTGGCGCTGATATATAACGAACGCACAAGGAACCATATAATCTCGACTGGATATGTAAAGCAGGCTAGTTCGAAGGGACTAAGGTATCTGGGATTTCAATACATTTCATAGTTTGCATAACCATTGTAACACCTTTATTGTTGACAGCAAAATATGCGCAGATAACTCGTAAGCAGAAGAAAACAGGAAATTATAACGTCTATGATCTAATGTAGTTTTTCAGACATAGTAACAGCACCCTGTAAATAACACAGAGAGAACAAGGTTCAGCAGAACAAAAAACAAAAGAAACCATGTATATCCAAACGACTGATAAATCAGAGGCTATCACAATATATGCATCTAGCATATTCATCATTCACTCGAATGCCCAAGCATTCTCCCTTCGAACGTCTTCCTCCTCCTCCGGAGTGAAATCATTCTTAATGCTGAACGTCTTCCGAATTTCCTCTGGAGTCTTCCCCTTGATCATATCCGCCACCGTTTGACATGTAAGGTCAAGCAGGCTCTTGATGTTTAGGTAGTTGGCAGCCTTAATGAAAAAAATGAAGTCAGTCATCAGCAAGACTAAGTTAACCAGCAAAGCTTGCAGCAAATATACCTCACAATTAAAGATTGCCTCGAGCACACACAAACAATGTAAAGATTAAGTCCCTGTTTGAGCCTCATTTTGGGGGGGAAACGTGTTTTGGAATGGTGATTTTTTGGAGAATGTGAAGTTGAAAAATAAGGAAAAATTTTGGATTTACGTGCAAAATTATTTTATAGGAGAATGTGCCATTGAAAATGAATTTTGGGAAAAATGGGGCTTAAGCTGGGGCTAAATAACATAGAATGTTGAACAAGTAATTGAATCCTTGAAGCAAAAAATAAGATGCCTACCTAAAAAAACACAGGAGAACAATATGTTGTTAATTGTGTGAGTGCATCATCGTCATCACTCAGTAAATTCATAAAGTAACATTCTTGATAAAAGATCCAGCAGAGCAACTAAGCAGTCTAAGCTATCCATTAAAGAAAGTGTACAAGTAAATGCAATCATCAACGTAACAGACAGTGCATGGATCTGCTAATGCAGCAGCATAATTGCGATAAAACAAAATTACCCAAATAAGTGCCCATTAGCTCATCATACAGTTATAGTAGCACATACGCAACAGTAGTTAATGTGTCTCGAACATGCGTTTAGGGCCACTAAAGTAGATAAAGATTCTCAAATAGGACATCATACACTATTTGGAGAATTTCTAAATAAACCATAAACACAAGCAGTCAAAAGAACCACCATTACTAATTTATGAATTCAAACTAACTTGTTAACACTCTCAAGCCATCACTGTGTGACATAAATTTCCTCATTGAAATCCAACCACCAATCTAAGTGGGGTGTCATACGACAGGGGAAAGCATCAAATATCGATCAATGCAAAGAGAAACATAAACCCTGTATTCACCCGAGCAAGTATTGGCATAAATCTCTTTATCAAATAAAAAGCCACTAGGTATACCAAGCATTATGGCAAACAAAAGAAAGAAACAAGTATAACACAGTAACTAGACACGAAAAACTAGCAATTGCATCTTAGAAAAATTAACAATCATCAAATAAAAAGCCACTAGGTTTACCAAGCATTATGGCAAACAAAAGAAAGAAACAAGGATAACACAGTAACTAGACACGAAAAACTAGCAGTTGCATCTTAGAAAAATTAACAATCAAACAAGAAAAAGGATGGTCCAAGAATAAAACATACCATTTCCAGATAGATGCAAGCTTACAAACAAAAATCATAAATTCAAAATGCTATAAGAACCATCATATCTTCAATCAATCCAAGTAAATCCTTGAACATTACACATGAAATAGCACACCACTAGAAACAACCCCACCCACAAGCATGCAGAAATTTTTTGGAGGGTACATAAACATTGTTGGATATGCAATTACACACTTGATATAAAATGTGACCCCCCTACCTTTGCCTAATCAACAAAAGAAGAAAGAGAAGTAACAAATGAAAAGCATATAGGCATTATCATATTCTACAGTTTTTCATTTCCCTGGATTGAACCAAAGAATCATCGTGGAAGATATAATGAGTAAAAAATGTTCTCAACTGCTATTTTTATGAAAAAGTACAGCCGAACTGAATAAACAAGATACTGAACACACATTAATAAGCAACTAAGAGCTGCCATTAACGTTGGATCTAATATATGTGTTGCGTTGTTGTAATTTGAAGAAAATGGTTCCAAGTCGAGGTGCTTGTCTTTGAGTCGAGTGTTATGGCTTGGTGGAAAACCAGAGAATTTGCCAAAAAGCTTGTCTTTGACATTGCGCGCAAGTGTTTTTGAGTAAAAGTCATTGATATTTTGTCAATCACACGTTAGGAAATGCTATGCTTATTTCAGGATTGATGATAAGTCCTTACACCATATGTTCACGTCTCCTTAATTATTAAAACTTGTGGATTGGGATATCAAATTTCATATCATATCCACGTTATGCCATTGCGTGACATTCTGATCTGATGTGGATAGCGATGTCAAAATATTGAAAAGATTAACCTCGCTAGTCTCCTCCACCTCGAAAGTCTCACCATCGGAACTTTTTAGCACTATCATCTTCTGAGTTGCATCAGTGGACGACATCGTTCAGATCGATCGATAATTGCAGAAAATTCTAAACCTAGATGGTATTTTAGAGAGAATAGTGATTCGTGAATGAATTGAAGAGATTGTTAAAGGAATGGACGGTGAGTCAGTATTTAAGCGTTTTTTAAGATACATAGGCCCCGTTAGGAAATATTATATTCGTTGTAGAATTCACACAAAAATAAAAAGTTAAATATGATAACTTGATGCGATGGATAATGATCATATTTTTAATTTTTATGACCAAATAATGGAAATCAAATGGGGCATAATTTTTTAAACATTTTTATTTTGAAGCTGTTTGGTTTAGATTTTTTAATTTAAGTCAAATAATCAATATTAATCACATCTTTCGTGTATTTCACAACTTTTTAACTACACATTTTAAAAACTTCTATTACAATCTACTAAAAAATCTAATTTTAATTCTCATTAAACACTCTCTTATGTTTTAAAATTTTTATATTACATTTTTATTTTTAAATTTACATAAATTATTTTTTATTATAATCTCTCCAAAAAAATTTCTAGATAGAATAACAAGATTCAATTGCCCATTATATTTTTTAGCCCATGTTTGAGAAGTAAAAAGTTTGGACAGTCACCAAACTTCCCCCTTTGTAACATTGTGGTCACTGAACTCACTATTGCGGCTGGAGGGTCACCGAACTCCCAAACCCACCGTCTCGTCCATCACCCGGTGTCCCAGCCGTTTGGAACCGTCCGACGTGGCTTCACGGCAGCTGAAGTGGCAATCGACGGCGTCAAACTCGGCCAACATGGATGCGATTTCAGGCTGAAAAACACGATTCTTCACTCAAAAAACTTCAAAATCCCCAACCCCTACCCTAACTCGAGCCCTCCAACGTTTTCTCCCCCCTGCAGGCGATTGTTCTTCTTCCTCTTCGTAGCCCAGCGAGGCCTGAAGCCGTTTCACTTGCACGCATGGAGGGAGACCAAAGTGAAGGTAAGTACCATTTTTCAATTTCAGCATCATGTCATCCAACTTGTGTTTAATACGCTATTTCGACTTAATGAGAGTGCCGTTTAGATTGAACACGCTAACTAAGACTCCATTTCATTACCACACAAATAGCAGCTGGCTTAATGATCACACTGCAGGTGGAAGAAACATATTTGGTTTAATTTAATTTTTTTTTTATTTTTTGCACGAATTTTTACAGGTGGTGAGGAAGATTCTGATTTCTCTCAATCTGATATTGATATGGCCTCTGAGGAAGACGATATGCTGTACAATCTTAATGTGATAGACGGTATTGAAATTGGTATGGATATCAACACAGTGGGACAAGGTGAAGAAGTAGTGCTTCGAGGGGAGATGGATGAGGTTAACACATTTGATGACTTGGAGTATCCATCCTCCGAAGAGCTAAATTTGGAATGTTCATCGGATGAAGAGGTTGGTTATCGCTTCCCTGAATTCTTTGCTGAGACGGATATGAGAAATCCGAAGTTAGAGGTCGGACAACTATTTCGATTAATGCAAGAGTTTAGATGCGCGGTGAGAAGTTATGGTGCTCTGAACGGATATAATGTGAAGTTGAGGTGTAATGATAGGAAAAGAGCTCAAGGAGTCTGCAAATCGGGGTGCTCTTGGAGGATTTGGGCTTCGAAGTTGAACGAGACTGAGACGGTGCAAGTGAAGTCTTACACCCCCGAACACATGCACCGGAGTCAATACAATAGACATTGCAACTACATTTTCCTAACGCATCGATATATTGAACAATTCAAAGCAGATCCTGATTGGAAGACAAAGTCCATTTTAGCGACTGTGAGGAATGATTTGAAGACGGAAATAAGTAGAAATGTTGCTTGTAGGATGAGGCAATATGCGAAGGAGATCCTATTTGGTACCCTCCAGGAGCAATTTGGCCTATTAAGGAGATACGCAGCGGAAGTTCATAGAACAAACCCAAGATCTTCTATATTCATCACACTTAATGAGCAAGTATTCAAGGGAATGTATATATGCTTTAATGCCTGCAAAGCTGGGTTTAGGGATGGTTGTAGGAAAGTGATCGGTGTTGACGGGTGCCATTTGCGGGGTTGTTTTGGTAGTATTATGTTAACAGCAGTTGGACAGGATGCTAGTAATTGTATTTACCCAGTGGCATATGCCGTTGTTGAAAAGGAGAATACGGAAGCGTGGAGATGGTTCATAAAGTATCTAGCCGAGGATATTCAAATGGAAAACGGACGCGGGTGGACACTAATGACTGATAAGCAAAAGGGGCTTCAGAACGTATGTGATGAATTGTTCCCGGAAGCAGAACATCGATTTTGTGTACGACACCTGTACACAAACTTCTTCAATGCAGGATTCAAGAGCAAAATTCTTAAGGATTATCTTTGGCGCGCGGCAAAGTCCACAATCGTCCCCGAATTTAAAATGTGGATGCAAAAACTTCACGATGTGAGTACCGCTGCATATGATTGGTTGATACAAAGGCACCCTCGGGAGTGGAGTCAGTCACATTTTTCGGTGCATTCGAAGAGCGACATGGTACTTAACAATGGCTGCGAAGTGTTCAATAAGACATTGTTAGAGGATAGAGAAAAGTTGATACTAAATATGCTTACATCAGTGCATATGACTTTCATGACAAGGATACAGAAAAGGCGAGATAAGATGGTAGGATGCCAAGGTCGTTTGTGTCCAAAGATTCAGAAAAAGTTGGGATCAGATAAGTGATATGTCAAGGGAATGTATTTTGCACTTCTCTGGGGGGCCAAGGTGACAAGTAGAATGTAGTTACGGGACATTTGTTGTTGATCTTCAGGAACGAACATGTGCATGTAGGAAATGGGATATCACAGGTATACCGTGTATGCATGCCATTGCCGTGATATGCGAGTGCAGGAATCAACCCGAAGATTTCGTTGACAACTGTTATAGTATTGAGACATACATGGGATGCTACAATAATATTGTGAACCCAATTAATGGAAGATTATTGTGGCCTGAAGTATATGCACCTACAATTTTCCCCCCCAAGTGGACCGTGTCCCGTAGGGGAAAAAAACAAAAAAAGAGGCGAAAGCAGGCAGAAGAAATGGTTGTGTGCATGAAAGGAAAAGCATATGTGAAGAAGAAGGGGGCTGTGACGATGACGTGCTCGCAATGCGGATTGAAGGGACATAATAAGCGATATCATTCCAGTGCAAATGCTCCAGTTGATGTAAGTGTACCATTTTGTTTTTGCATTTAAGTCTGAGATTCATTGTGACTAATGTCATATTGTTAATTTCTATCTTATCGTAGGATTGGATTGACGTTGAAATACAACCAGTTGAAAACAATTGCAATGTATTGGTAAATGAACAAGTAAGACAAGAACTAGTTGCATTTCATTGTGTCATTTAATAATTGTGTTTGGCCGATATTAATAATTATAGTTTGGTTTGGTTTGGCAGGGTAAATTGGTTGCCACAAGAGGAAAGGGAACATTGAGCCAAGGCCGGAGGGAAGAAAATCAAATGCAATTCATGCCTACGCCTACGGTTGCAAGTGAATCGCCTTCAAGGATATTAGAATATGGACCATCCGCTACTTTTGGTCGATGAGTTGTGACACATTGCTGAGATTGAAATAGCCATGGTGACCTTTTTGTCAATGGAGTGACATCTCCATGGTGGCCTTTTTGTCAATGGAATCCTCGTGCTTTTGTTAGATTGTTTATTGGATGTCCTCTAATATTTTTTGTAGTGGTATAATTAGTTCATTGATGGCTGTACATGGAAATGAACATTGTAAATTGGGTGCATTCCTTTTGATTAGTGGTATCAATGAAATGGACTTCTTTTGAACATTGTAAATTGGGTGTTCGATTTCTGTCACAGCAAATATAGGTAGACTTTTAATTACTTGGGAGATTATGGGATGATTCTGCCTTTATGTATTAAATGCCAGTATTCTGCCTTTTAATTACTTGGG